TTCTTGATGGGCAGCAATGGCTACTGTCATTCCTTGTCAATACAGAATTCTTTAATGTCATCGCTCCATGTTCTCCTAGGGCGACCTCTTGCTTTCACTTCAGATCATTTCATGTATAGCGCCTGCGTTGGTAGTTGTTCTGGTTGTATTCTTACTAGATGATCAAACCATTTGATCTTCTGCTGAATGTGCTGCATTGTGTAGTTGCTACAGTCTGCCTGATAACATCATTTCTAACTTTGTCTTCAATGGTCAAGTTGGCAGCTTTTCTCAAGCATCTCATTTCACAGGTGTTAATTATACTGAGGGTGCCTTTAATAATGTCCAAGTCTGGCACTGATAGCCCAGTGTTGGTATGAATATGCTGTTTATAATCTGTTTCTTGGTGATCGTTCTTATGTCTAGATGTCTTAATGATGGTGTCAGTTGGTACATAACTGCACTGCTCGTTGGCATCTTTTTTTCTATTTCCCGATTTATTCTCCCGTACTCTGGAAAATATTTAAATTCTTCAACTTGCTTCAGACAAGTACATTCAACCATATAATTAGCGGACTAGGAATTATACTCATCTGCTTTACTTAAGTGAAATATTGTTTATTGTGTGAAAACTAATGTTTAATTTGGTCCTATCTGAAACAGGAAATCACACGTGCCATTCCTATATCGTAAGTAAAGTAAAGGACCCTTTTCCACGCCTTCAGGCATATTGGGCATATAGGGCTAGACCTATATTTTATAGACCAATCGGCACTTTTACTTCCCAAGACTGCACCTGGTACCCACTCAAGGATGGGCCGAACTGGGAGCCAAAGTAATTTTTGTTCACTAGGACATGAACCCACGACCTAATGATCTGCAGGCGGGTATCTAGCCGCTTCACCACTGCGACTCCCTGTGGCAAGGGGTAAAATTACAATTAACAGCTATGAAAACCCATCAGGTGAAAAATCACAAAAACTACATTTAGGTGACTTCTGAGAAGTGCCAACAAATATCTCTTCACTGCAAAATGTATCACCCTCGTGTTTCTACACTAACAATTTTCTTAAAGTTAAACAACAACTGTATAAAATAAAAAGAAACTCTGCATAATTACACATTCTAAATCCACTGACTAAAAATAAAAGAAATAAAATGCATGTATATTGAATAAAACTTTGAAGGCAGCTTCCATGCATATTAAATATGCTAGTTTACATACTCAAAATCCAACAGCTGAGGTCTTTGAAAGCGCAAGTAAATACTGCCACACAGGAAAGAACAATTAAGTATACAATCTCTTAATTCATATTAAAATGATCCTGTGATGTTTGTTGTACAGTCGGGGGGGGGGATTTCTTCATCAAAATGATCACTGCGAGGTATGCCGAAGAGTGAAGGGGGTCACATGAAACATGAAACAGCGATTACAAACCCTCACAGCTTTCTCTTGTCCAAAGTGGGGCAAAGGCACAAAGTTGGATGAGCAGCGACTGCAGAATATCTGTGGGTGGAAGGAAAATGTGCGCTTTCATTTGACTGAAACGTTATATCATAACTATCATGAACAACAAGCAGCTGTGAGAGTAGCTGACGAAACATAAACTGGTTTCTCAATGTTATCCTGTTATAATGTGTTACAGAGTATCACAGATATCACAATCTATTACAGCCAGGGATAAAACGCGTCTTCTCCATAGCAAAAAACCTGGGCAGTATTGTAGAGACCATGTATTGTCCACATAGCATAATCTCTCTTTCTCTCTCTCTGCCCTGTGAATTCCAAAGGAAACATCAATATATTTAGAACAAAGTCTGCTGCAGAAGTTGCTACACTGAAGGAGAAGTGCTTTATCCATGCATGAAACCTTCCTTCCTGGGCCAGTTGTCAACAGAGGTGAAGGGTCTGGGCTGCCCTTTCACTACATTTATTTTTTAGGTTGGTTGCCTTTTCTCTTCCTAAGATAAGGCTTTGACAATGTGCTCCTCTGTCCGAAAGATGTCGGCACCATGTGGAATGTCAAGTCCGGTATACATGCCCAAAATTCAGCGCTAACAGAGAACAGGTAGTATCGGCTACTGTTATACGATAGCTTGGTAACATGTGGCCAAGACATAAAGAAAAATAAATATAAAAAAATAAAAATAAGATAAAAAACCTGAAATAAAGATATAAACAAATCTTAGATAAAAAATATAATTTTTGTGTGAACATTATAGCATCAATAAGACAGCTGACAATCAATAAAATTGTCAGACAATCCCCCCCCCCCCCCCCCCCCCCCCCCCCCCCCCCCCCCCCCCCCCCCACAGAGATTTAGTAACACAAACAAATTAATAATATGAGAATTCAATTCCCATTTATCCTAAGACTTACTTTTCCACAGTTGCGGCAGTGGTGACGTCTGCGTACAAATGTGAAAGGCACTTGACAGGACATGCAGTCAGTCGTCTGTTCATCAGGAACCCAAGACGGCGGCTCTGTGAGCAAGAAAAGTAATACTGACTACTATGGGAGTGTCAACAGCTGGGACATGACCACCAGAATCATGAACATTACAAAATAGTGCCACAAATGTGAAGCATTTGTAAATAATTAACTCTTTCATTGCTGGGTGATGTCTACATCCAAAAGCTAGAAAAAAATACTAGATGAATGAATTTATGAATGAATCAAGAATCAAAATCGCTGCAGCAGGGACAATTCTCCTACATGCTCTGTCCTCCCTTTTCTGTATCTAAATAAGAGTTTCAAATCTGATGGTACAGGAGAAAGAGAAAAAAAAAGACAGACCAAAAAAGACCAGAGAATTTGGCCAAATGGATGGAGCTCAAACATACAAACACCAAGTCCACTGCATCTGACCGACAGAGGTCAAGGCAACTAATCAGACAGTCAACAGCAACTGGTGACTCAATGACAAGCAGTCTTATGGGACAATGATGATGATAAACCTATCTTCTTCTTCGATCCTTCTGTCAGAAAACTTATTTCAGGAGGCCGGTAGCCTTTATGAAAGCTATTGTGCAGTCCATGTCCTCTTATGTACCATACAGTTTTGTCTTTATTGTGGTTGGAACAGGCCAGATTGCGTCTCTGTTGTCAGCATACAGTTGACAGTGTTGGAGCACATGCTCAGCATTTTCGGGTGCCACGCTGCAGGGACACGTCTCCGTGTTTCCTACACAGAAAAATCTGAACATATGTTGACGAAGTCTGTTGTGCCCAGTCCTTAGTCTGAATATAATACACTGTTCCTCTCTAGAGTGGCGATGAAGCGAGTATTGGGGAGAGAATCTGGTGTGTGTGTATCCAGCCCCCTTTCTTGGATACTTTTCTCTATTTATAGCCCGCAATTTGTGGCACTGGTAATTATATCTATACACAGCCTTCTGTCCTGTGTACTTCCAATCATTTCTAACACAGATGATTTTCCATGCCATAATGTAAAAGTCTCAAGCAACTTCTCTCTCAGTCTCCTTCTGCCTTTTCTTTCCTGTAACTTTCTCACTGTCCTGATGTATTCGTTTTCTTCTTCTCATGATGAAAGAATGCATGTAAGAAGTTCTTTTTGTAAGTTAATTTCCTTTAACTCTCTTCATTACTCTTTTGATTTGTCCAGTGTTCTCATAATTCATCCACAAAATGAAGTATACATGCTCAATTTATTGTGTCATTCAAAGAAAGCAGGATTAGAGTCTAAAGGCGACCAGGAAAGTGATTTACTGATGACACAATCTGAGAAGTGGATCGTTACGTTAGTGGTCCTTTCTTGGTCTGGGGAGGCTTCTACAGACAAGGCAGGACCCCACTCTAGATCATCCAAGCAACTTGATCGACTCAATATACCAGAACAAAATCTTGAGACCAACTGTTCAGCCAGTTCTGAAGGCAACAGGTAGTAATACCATCCTCCAAGATGATCTCATTGAGCTTGTGTGGTGAATGACTTTATTCAGCAACATTCATCTCTTTTCCAACTGAGCACATCTGAGATGTTCTTGGTTAAAGATTGTCAACTAATTCCCCCCTGCCAATGGATGTTACAAAGCTGACTGCATTTCTACTTCAGGAATGACAAGCTGTTCCTCAGGGCACTCTTTAGACCCTTGCGGACTTGGTACATTTACGCCGCCTTGAAGGTCTTGTTGCAAACGGTGGTCATACATGATTTTGAAATGTCTAGTTGTCCAATATCTATTTTGTGACCTTTGAAAAAGTGGGTGGCACACTTCACAGCTTCATTGCATTTGAATGTATGTTTCCATTACTTTACATGATATGTTGATTTGGTATTCAATAAATTCTGTTTTCACTTATTTTACTTATGTTTTTATTACATCTGTTTTATGGTTTCAACCAAGATATTTTTACTAAGTGACCCTTGACTTTTGATGAGAAGTATTTATGCATACATAAATACTAAAGGCAAAGAGATATTTTCACTGCACTTGGAAATCTGTGGAAAACAAAGATTATTAAACATAATACCAAACGCAAAACACATCTCCAACTTCAAATCAATACTGCAGAAATATGAAAGACAACTATAATAAGTATGAAGATACAATAAATATTCACCAACTAATGCTTTCCAATAACAGAGGGAGTTAAATGTGATAACAGAATCCCTAATGCAGATCTTTAGAAAAAAAAAAATTTCAGAGAATGAAGAGGTGAGGAAAAGATGGTGGCACTAGAAAGGACACAGATTGAAAAAACATGATAGTATAATTAGAATGTCCTTTCATTGGAACAAAAAAAGACCAAAGAAAAGGAACCCCCCCCCCCCCCCCCCCCCCCCCCCCCCCCCCAAAAAAAAAAATCCCATGGAGAACAGAAGTAGAGAGTGATATGCATAACATTAGGAGGACGTGGGTGAGTTATAAGAGACTGCAAAACACAGGATTACTAGGCCCAAGTTGACTTGCTTATGCTTTATTAGAAAGGAAGGAGCAGAAAAAGAAATGATAAATAAGCATTTGTGTAGTCTAAACACAGCAGCAAGTATACTAACCTTGTCGCTGATTGGTAAAACTTCGAGCCCTTCTAGCTGACCGTGATGCTTGTGATACTGCTCGATAAGCAGCTTCCAGAGGGGTAGTATCCTTACACTTATCATCTGTGCTGATATCTACAAGCTCTGAACAATTCATGTCAAAAACTGCCCGGAGGATGTTCCTGAGGTCACCAGCAAAGTTGGTCTGCAACTGGTCGGCCACACCTGAAGAAATGTTAGCCCAAAAAAGAGGGTGGGGGGTGGGTGGGGGGGGGGGGGGGGGGTTTACTTATAATTAGCTATTTTGATTCTCAACTCACTTAGTACCAAGTAATTATAAGGCCAGACAGACACATAATCAAACTGCTACCAGCGCCATCGAAACTGGAACACTTCACTGGCTGCTGAAAATGAGGACGGAGTGCTTATGGGAATGTCTTGAATGCTAGATGTTAGCTCTTAGTGCAACACATGACAATACCAGTAAACTCACCATGTGTTTATATGTTTTTATCAACTTCTTTCCAGCTGTATTATTAACCTACTCTACCCCAGTTGTTAACTCATCGGTTGGCTGAGTGGTTACAATGTCAGGCTCTCATGCTCGAGACCTGGGTTCAACCCCAATAAGGTGATGGAGTCGTTTTTTTGTCGGCGCCAAAATTAAACATCCTAATCTGTACAGCCCAAAGACAGTAGTGACAGTTTTGTGTGTGCGTGGACAGTTAACTCAGTATCTGGTTTGTCGTTACACACTCCACCTCTCCCCCCAACCACCTCAATAAGGTTACCGTACAAAGGAAGATAGAAGAAGAAGAAAAATGACAGCATCAAAAACAGTCTCAAAGAAATGAAGATCATCTTGTAAAACACATTAGAAAAAAACACCTGATTGGTCGTTACACCCCCTCCCCTACCCACCCCCAACCACCTCGATGAGGTTACCGCACGAAGGAAGCACATCCTATGCTGTACATGTTAAATAGCCCTTACAGTCTAATATTCTATTCTGTTTTATCCTGTGCTATTCCTCTCATAATCACGGACAGAATTCCTTCCAGCACCCCCTCAACAATGTTCCTCTTGGGGTTTCTCTCGGGAGTCCTCGCTTCTCAATTCATTTGTTTTCCAAGTTGGTGCTTGTTTTGTGATTCTCTATTTGTTTGTCCTCATAATGTCCCAAATATATTTCCATCTTCTTTGTCATGTAACTGATGATATAAGGCAGATATTCTTCTCTTTTATTTACCTGTCTTGAATTAATACCATTTAGTATTTTTCAATTTCCTAGAGCATTTTTTGCTCAACTTTGAAAAAAAAAATATTTCACAACGGCATTATGCAAACTATTTTATATTCAGAAAGCCATTTTCTTAGACAAATATTCTAAAAACAGAAAGAAAATTGTTCCACCATATGTCAATGAAAATCACAGACTTTCCATCACTGTCCTCTGTAGAAAACAAAACTGACACAACTGCAGTCTTATCAAATCTAACAGCATAAATGCACAAGGAGGTAGTCAGAAGTGTCAACACAAACAGTCTAGCAATAGAAATGCAGTTCATCGTCAATGGCAGCAGCAGTTAAAATAGATCAGTATCTGCACATGCAATTATTCCCAAAAGGCTTTACAAGTTCTCTGGCAACCGGCCATTCACCACCTTCTGAATCTGCAGTTCACAAGATAAACTATATGGACAGTCAAAAAGCATTCCAACTAAAATCTGCAGCTCCAGTGTCATGCCATGCACTCAACTCAGCAGCTGGGACTACATGACCAATGTCTATCCAATGAGGGACAGCGACCTGCCAGGTTTAAAGAAAAAGGGCAGCTGAACAGTGCAAGCAGGCTAGAAAGACCCGTATAACAGGCCCTTTAACTACAGACATTGTTCCCTGTTCTCACTGTTCTAGATCCTTTCGGGCCTGTATTGGGCTTATAAGTCCCCTCCAGACTCACAGAACTCAATTATAGTTTCATGGCGGATTAAAGAAAGAGTGGTCCTCATTACCTGTGGTGGATGAACAACAACAGCTGGGCGATGGAACTATATTCTTTAAGTCTATATATGGAGGAAAATGTAACAGTTAACTATACCTAGAAGCAAAAACTTGCCACAACTAAAAGAACAGTAAACCTGCCTATCTGCCACATCAGAGCTAAATAACAGCTTGCCTGGGACATACAGAGTAACGATTATCAGTACGCCTTCTACCCTGTTCAACTGCCTAATGTCTACCATTCAGATACAACAGAAGAACCTGTACATAACTCCCACCCCCCACCCTTCTTATGTGTTTGTCATTAAAAGAGCAGTTAGTATAATGTTGTAGTTTACAGCTAGGCTATGATATCCATGCCTTTTGACCCAACACATTGATTTCAGCAAACCCATAAGGAGTCACCTGTTATGACATGCTCATGTGTGTGTGTGCATGCAGGCATGCACCAGGGGGCCTACTCTTGTTTTGTCTTCAAAATGAGCCACCCCCCCCCCCCCAGATTGCACACAGGGAACACAATTTTTCAAAGCCATAAGTAAAAATGGCCGCCAAATACTATAAAAGGATTCACATGAACACAGAAGGAAGGGAAACAAATGAAAATAGCAATGTTCAACCACGAATTTGAAATTTCAGGTACAAAAAAGAGAGGAATGAAGGAGGTGATGCCAGGTGTCTAGAAGAGCTTTTCTCACCTGAGATGCAAACAAACAGGCGATGTATCATGTCGCTGCTGCTCTCAAATCTGGCACGCACCTGTTGACGAGTTGCATTTTCCGCAGCTTTGACCGCAAGATCAATTTCTTCCTGATCCCCACAATCAGAGGTATATGAGCTGGTTTCACTACTGTGATTGCTGAGGAAGAAGAGAAAACACCACGCACTGAACAGTCGGGATGCATTGTGCCCACCCACTTGGCTATCTTCTTTTTTCTTTTATATTCAATTATTATGTCTTAGGTTCAAACCTGCATCAAATTAGATTCTTCTTTAAACAAATTTTTTTTTTTTTACTTTGGCTTCCAAGCTGACCAAGTGTAGAATGGGTACCAGGTAAAGTCCTGGAAAGTAAAGGCAGTCAGCATGATACTCAGGTGACTAAATCTGAAAGTTAAGAAATACCTCATTTTCACAATATTCAAGCGGCTAATTTTGGAAGTTTAACTACAGGAAAACCATGTTTACACAATATTTAAGTGGCTAAATTAGGAAGTTTAACTACAGGAAAACCAAGTTTACACAATATTTAAGTGGCTAAATTTGGAAGTTTAACTACAGGAAAACCATGTTTACACAATATTGAAGTGGCTAAATTTGGAAGTTTAACTACAGGAAAACCATGTTTACACAATATTGAAGTGGCTAAATTTGGAAGTTTAACTACAGGGAAACCATGTTTACACAATATTTAAGTGGCTAAATTTGGAAGTTTAACTACAGGAAAACCATGTTTACACAATATTTAAGTGGCTAAATTTGGAAGTTTAACTACAGGAAGACCTTGCTTAAGAAGAACACTGTTTAAATGAACACAATTTTGGTCCAGCAGGGTTGTGTTATTGCTATAGGTCCCCAAAAAGCACCAATTTATTTCAACACAAATTCGATTTTTGGTCCTGTGGTATTTGTGTTAATGATGTTTTACTTTATTCTTGCGATAAACAGATGAACTGACTTAGCAAAACAGAAAAATATAATCAAACTCATGAGTTCTTAACTTTTTGTGTGTGTCAATATAGGGTGTTACTGAAGAGTCACCCGTGGTCAAGTTTCATTCTCATAAAAAAATGTTGGTGATTACGACAATCAACAGCAAATAAGCCTGATATAAGGCCGCATGACTAGTTCAGTCGCCACAAACTGTGCAGATTAGTATTATTTTGGCCCCCGCAGAAACAAATCCCTAGCTCTTACCAAGGATCAAACCAGGGTCTCCTACATGACAGCCCGGCGCTCTAACCCTTCCGCCAGCTGCTCCTGTTAGTATAAGTTAACAACTGTGTAACAATAGGAGGAAAGTCTGGTGAGAGTGATGCAGCAGGGAATGACGAGGGGATCTGGCCAATACTTAATGCTCAGAGAAAAGGTGAGACGAATGTATAATCAGAATTGGTATTGGCAGCATTGGTTTTGGAACGCTGTGCTGGCTGCTGAAGATGGAGACAAAGCGCTTAAGGCAATGCCCCGAGTGCTGTAATGTCAGTTCTTGAATCAACTCAACTCGTGAGGAAAGATGCCACTAAATGAAATTAATCAGAGGGAGTGGAAATTCTGTTTCTGAAGCTAGACACCAAACACTTAAACCCTCAAGCTCAAGATCGCTGTCGACACTGACCTAATAAGCGGTAAACACAGACAGTAGTAAAAGTAAACACAGACAGTAGTAAAAGTAAGCACAGACAGCAGTAAAAGTAAGCACAGACAGTAGTAAAAGTAAACACAGACAGCAGTAAAAGTAAGCACAGACAGCAGTAAAAGTAAGCACAGACAGTAGTAAAAGTAAACACAGACAGTAGTAAAAGTAAGCACAGACAGTAGTAAAAGTAAGCACAGACAGTAGTAAAAGTAAGCACAGACAGTAGTAAAAGTAAACACAGACAGTAGTAAAAGTAAGCACAGACAGTAGTAAAAGTAAACACAGACAGTAGTAAAAGTAAGCACAGACAGTAGTAAAAGTAAGCACAGACAGTAGTAAAGTAGTAAGTAAGCACAGACAGTAGTAAAAGTAAGCACAGACAGTAGTAAAAGTAAACACAGACAGTAGTAAAAGTAAGCACAGACAGTAGTAAAAGTAAGCACAGACAGTAGTAAAAGTAAGCACAGACAGTAGTAAAAGTAAGCACAGACAGTAGTAAAAGTAAGCACAGACAGTAGTAAAAGTAAGCACAGACAGTAGTAAAAGTAAGCACAGACAGTAGTAAAAGTAAGCACAGACAGTAAAAGTAAAGACAGTAGTAAAACAGCACAGACAGTAGTAAAAGTAAACACAGACAGTAGTAAAAGTAAGCACAGACAGTAGTAAAAGTAAGCACAGACAGTAGTAAAAGTAAGCACAGACAGTAGTAAAAGTAAGCACAGACAGTAGTAAAAGTAAACACAGAAAACACAGACAGTAGTAAAAGTAAGCACAGACAGTAGTAAAAGTAAGCACAGACAGTAGTAAAAGTAAGCACAGACAGTAGTAAAAGTAAACACAGACAGTAGTAAAAGTAAACACAGACAGTAGTAAAAGTAAGCACAGACAGTAGTAAAAGTAAGCACAGACAGTAGTAAAAGTAAGCACAGACAGTAGTAAAAGTAAGCACAGACAGTAGTAAAAGTAAGCACAGACAGTAGTAAAAGTAAACACAGACAGTAGTAAAAGTAAGCACAGACAGTAGTAAAAGTAAGCACAGACAGTAGTAAAAGTAAGCACAGACAGTAGTAAAAGTAAGTAAGCACAGACAGCAGTAAAAAAAGTAAGCACAGACAGTAGTAAAAGTAAGCACAGACAGTAGTAAAAGTAAGCACAGACAGTAGTAAAAGTAAGCACAGACAGTAGTAAAAGTAAGCACAGACAGTAGTAAAAGTAAGCACAGACAGTAGTAAAAGTAAGCACAGACAGTAGTAAAAGTAAGCACAGACAGTAGTAAAAGTAAGCACAGACAGTAGTAAAAGTAAACACAGACAGTAGTAAAAGTAAACACAGACAGTAGTAAAAGTAAGCACAGACAGTAGTAAAAGATCAAGCTCTTCTTCTTTTTCTTCATCTTGTTCACCAGCAGAAAGTTCTAGTTGTTCATCCAATACTGGACTTTGATCTTGTACCAGAACTTGAGCTTTGCATGCATATTCATTTGACAGATCTGGCTTATTTATATGCAGATGGTTGGCTGCTTCCCTCTCCGGCAGATGCACTTCAATTCTGATGGGAAAACCCCTCATTAGTTGCCTTTTTTTACATGCTTGTTGGGGTCTATTATTATTTTCCCCCAAAACGAGGTCCCAGGACCCACAAGGAGAACAGATAGAAAAAATGCCACAGCACCCAAAAAAATAAATAAATTAAAGCACTGATAATCTTGTAATCTTAGTTTCAGCTTTATAGCAAACGGGTAGCCCCATAGTTGCTCCGCTCCTGTGCCAACCAAAAACACACACAAAATGTTTATCAAAGTCCCTTGTGGAAAGATTGACAGACTGCTGTCTCAGCATATGCACTAGCATACACACGCATTAAAAGCATATGGTAGCCATCTGAAGTGCTAACACAAACAGTTCGACATTAGAAATTCAGTTCATCATGGATGGTAGCACTAGTGACTAGCAGAAGTCACTAACAGATCAGCAGTTGCACATGCGATCAATTTTAATCACACAATGGCCCACCAATATTGTGCCAACCGGCATCGCACCATTTTCTGAATCTACTGTCTCACACATCGTAAATTTGAACAAAGAAGACTGTACAATTTGAGTGTGGTGGATTTTCATTCTTTAGTTGAAAGAAAGAAATTGGAAGCATGGCAGCAACACTTCAATGCTAAAAAAAAAAAAAAAAAGGATGATCAAAAACTCTTTTTCTGAAATATAATCTGGATATGCCTTTTCAGGTGCCCTCTCTGGGGTATCTCCAGGGTTTTTCCAGTTTCCTAGGTTCATGCTGGGGGGAAAAGCTTAGGCATTGCGAGCCCGACTCATAATTTGAACATACCATGTTCGAAACACACTGCTGGCTGCATAGATTTTTATCATCATGGGACGTCGTATGTCCACCCAGCCTAAAATGCGTACCAGGATGAAAGTCCTGGGGAAGTAAAGACTGGCCGGCATAATGCTGACCACATTACCCAACTAGTGCCGACTGGTCTGTAAAAATATGGGTGCTCTTCCCATATGCCCGATGCGCCAAAAAGGCGTGAAAAGGGATCTCTACTTTACTTGTGTGTGTGTGGGGGGGGGGGGGGGGGGGGGGGTAGGAGTGTTACAGATTATTAGATGGTTTTCTTTACAAAACTGTATCAGCCCGTCTCCTTGGTCCTGTGCTAGGTTGCCTTACAATGTACAAAAATTGTATTTTTCCTACTTTTGCACTGATGATTCCCATGACTGTGCACTAGTACTGTTAGTTAGTCTTAGTCTTTCTTTTTGAGCCTAGGGCGGCGCAGAGGGCAGAGGTCATAGCTCTTTGTGTCCGGTGGTTCGTTTTAGGTCTTAGATGTTCATTAGGCCCATGATTGACTCTTCCATGATGATGGTTTTATGCAGGGTCTCTCTTGGTACTCCCCATTTTCTTTTCCCTTCCGGTGAGCATTTGAGGGCTTGATGGGGGAGTCTGGACTTATCTCTAGAACTGTGTTTTCCTGAAAATAATTCCTGGCTTTTTACTATTTTTTCCCCTCAAAAGACACCTTAGGGTTTATTTTCAGGGGATGTCTAATTTTGCTACAAAATAATCTACATTTATTCAAGTAGAAAATACACATTTCTTCAAGTGCAAAAATCTTCAACAGAGGCACCACGGGTTCCAACAGATGGACAAATTCCACTGAACTGGCTGACAATCTAACTAGAGCTCATATTTAGGGTCGAGCTTAATTACGAGCATACTACAAAATCATGCTAGGTCATATTTTCAAGGAAAACAAGGTACCTATTTCTGTGCCAGGCAAATTAACATCCAATAATTGGTTACTCCATAAACAGAAGCAACAGTAGCAGAGACTAGTTGCCTGCCTACCAGCCTCAAGGCTTTTGGTACAAATCTGTGTCAGGGCAGATATCCATTTCAGGCTGGGACGATGTGGGAGCCAAGGTAATAATGGGTATATAGTGAGTAAAGAACCCCAACCTTCAGGCATATTGTGCTTATAGTGCCATACCTATATCTAACAGACCAATCGGCACTCAGTGAGTGATGTGGTCAGCATCACGCCAGCCATCTTTACTTCCCAAGACTTTACTTGCTACCCATTAATATTGGGTAGACCTGGGAGCTAAAGTCGTTTAAAAAAAAAAAGGCAGGTTTCATCACGACCTTCCAATCTGCAGGCAACCATCTAGCCGCTATACCATGATGGCTCCTAGGTATATAGTGCTAGACCATATTTTATCAACGTATCAACAATCGACAAGTACTTAGACTTGACTATATCATAGTGGCTGCCTTTACTTCTGATAATTTCCTGGTAAACATTTTTTTTTAAATGTCCTAATTGGTCGAGACTTGTCTTTCACATAGAGGATGGTCGCAATCCAAAAGATCTCCAGTACTGTGAACTGATGACAGGGAAAAGATCTGCAGGAAGGCCAAGGCTATGCTTCAAGGATGTATGCAAAACATGAACTAAAAGATACCAACATTGACACAGACACTTGGGAGAGATCAGTTACAAACCGACTCATATGAAGACTAGACAGTGAAATATGGACTGTCACAGTTTGTATGAGACCACACATAGCAAGCCAAAGAGAGCAAATGTCAGATAGAAAGTCAGCCTCAGTATAACAGAGTATCAACATTTTTATGTCAACTAATTGGCACAGACAGCCACTTCCAAGGAAAAATACAAGGAATTGTGGAGAGAACAAACTAACAGTAAACATCCACAAGACCATATCAGCAGACTCAACAGAAAGCAACATACAACATTTTTCCGTCTACGAAAAGGAAACTGCAGGCTCAACTACCACATACAAAAAAAAAAGACTGTACAGTCCCCACAGTGTGCCTGTCAAACAGGACCACAAACACCTCAGCACATTCTGCAAATCTGTCCACTCTACATACAGCTTCGAAAAGACACCTGGCCTCAAGAGCAAAGTGTGCACAGGAAGCTATGAGGAACCAAGAAGGACCTGCTACTGACATGCGAGTTCATAGAGGCAATCCACCTGATGGTCTGATCTGATCATATGAAACCGAATGCATAGAAGAAGAAGAAGAAGAAGAAGAAAAAGAAGAAGAAGACAGCCACTCCTTCATAAGACTTTACATCATAGAAGATGCTGGTCCCAAAACTACAGGTACAACTCCAGTCTCTAGGGACTGATGGTTGCTTTCAAGATATTTTAATTTGGAAAAATAAAAATGACTGTTTCAGATGGTATAATTCAATGCCTATCGCAAAAGGTTCTTAAAAAACAGAAAGAAAAGAAGAAAAGAAAATAAAATGAAACAAATTTGAAAAAATACTCATACCATTCACTGTCAAGCAACTGGTACTCAATCAGAACCTTGGCCTGAGCGGGTAAGCCAGGTCTCTGATTACGATTTGAGGATGTCTCCTGCTGCTGCTGCCTCACCTTGGAACTCTTCTTTAAGCTTCTCGTCCGTGAAGAACCCTTTATTCCACTATAGTGCCCTTTTGTAGATGATGAGTTGGGTGCAGCAAGGCTTGAAGTATTCGTTGTAAGTAAATGATTTGAAAGCCCGTTATGTGAAGGAGGTGGTGATGGAGTTAACTTCCTAGAATCCTGAGCATCATCTACGGATGGTTTAAATGTGTGTGTTGAGTCAGCAGTGCTAGCAGTTAAGATGGCATCTGACTCGATGGTGGTGATGGGAGCAGAAAGTGACTGAGATGAAGTTACTGGATCTGTTTCAGAACTAGAGTCTGCCATAGTCTGGTCCCTTGATATGAGTATATTTACACAGCCGTCTATCTGCCTTCTACCAAAAGCTGAAACTGTCTCCTCATCAGAGTGCATCTCAGAAGTTTGAGTTAATATTGCACACTTGTTAACATGGTTATTATTATTTTCTCTGTCTTCCATGACAGCAGGTGTAGATAAAATGTCTGAATTGGCGCATGCTAATGGGTTGTCCACATCTGATAAATCCCCCCTCTCTTCACTTGCATGAGCATGACGGTTGTTCAACACATGACTCTGTTCACCTCTATCACAGATTTGGTCTTTAGAAGTATGTGGAATTCTGGAATGTTCAGGGTGTGGCCTTTCATTTACTGCATGGGAAAAGTCTGCACTGGTAAGCTCCTGTGTTGTCTGAACAACTTTCCCACTTTCACTGCCATTCATTCTACAATTATAAGGTGCACTATGGTCTGCCTTCAAGTGTGCATGAGAAGTGTGCTCATTTTCTATGTCGGATAGTTGCATAATAGTTTCAACAGAATTCCCAGATGTCTGGGGCAATACTTGATGACTGCTGCTGTTTGTATTCAGTCCTAATGAATTCTCACAACACAAGTCAGAGACTGCGGAATACACATCCATGTTCAAAGTGGTTCCATTTGGATGCCTCGAGATACTGTCTGGATATTTTGTGGCAATATTGCCGGCATTCACCTCTTGGTCTGAGTGCAATGAAGGGAATGTCAGACTGCCCACATCACTGCTGCTGGCCCTTGAAATACCGTCACCAGTTCCTAAATAATGCATGAAAAATATTAAGTTAGCATCAAGTCAACCCAGTGCTTATCTATTTCGTGCTTGAGCTAACAGTGAGCAATTTCAATGCTTATCTATTTAACAAACATTTTAACAGTAATCAATGTCAATGCTCATCCATTTTCATTCGTCTTACCAGTAAACAATAGCAATGCTTATCTGTTTGGGAGCGAGTGAACAGTGCCGAGGAACTGATAGAGAATGGCACTGCAAGGAGTTACAAGGGGAATTGGGTGACATTCGACACTCAGGGAAAGGCGAGACGGATATACAATCAGACACTTACTGGTACAATCGGAATTTTAACTCTTCGCTTGCTGTTTGGAGATGGGGACGGAGCGCTTATGGGGGTGTCCCGAGTGCTGTGATGTCGATTCTCAATTCAACATTCCGTTTAAAATGTGATTTAACAATAAGCAGTATCAATGCTTATCTGTTTCACATGTTTTAATAGTAAACAATGTCAATTCTTATCTGTTTTACATACATGTGTAACAGAAAACAACTGCAATATTTACCTGTTCAAAATGTGCTTTAACAGTAAACAATATCAATGTTTATGTTTTGCATATACAGTAGAACCTCGCTTAACGAGCACCTCTCATAACGAGTAATTCGCTTAACGAACAAAACAAATTGTAAAAGAATGACTTGCTTAACGAGCAAAATTTCGCATAACGAGTGGCGAGGAGATAGGAAATCCCGGATTGTGCGCATGTTACATCAGTCTGTGTTTAGAACTCGTTCCAGTAGTATCGTAGTGTCGCTTGTGATCACACATTTTCTCAAACTTATGTTATATTGTTATATATGTACATGAATCCTCCAGGCCTACAAGATGACCTCTCTGAAGAATTTAAGTTCATCAAGGTCTAGTTTCTGCCTCCCAACACCACTGCATTACTCCAGATCATGGACCAACAAGTTATTTCTAACTTTAAGAAGCTCTACATTAAAGCGCTCTTCGAGCATTGTTTTCAGGTGATTGAAGGGACCAACCTCACTCTCAAAGAGTTTTGGAAAAATCACTTCCACATCGTTGCCTGCCTCAAGATGATCGACAAGGCGGGGGAAGGGGTTACCAAGAGAACCCTTACTTCTGCTTGGAATTAGCTTTGGCTGGAGAGCTTTGTCGATTTGTGACTTTAAGGGTTCAAGACAGTTCCAATGGAACCTGTAGTCAACGAGGTTGTGTCTTTGACCACTATAATATAATTGTAGGTGGATAACAGTGATATTGAAGAGCTTGTGGAAGAGCACAGCCAAGAGCTGACCACCGAAGAGCTTATGGAGTTGCCTTGTGTTTCACAACAATAAGTTTTGGAGGAAAGTTTGTCACAGGAGGAGGAGGTAACAGAAAAGCAAAAATTTTCTGGCAAAATAAGAAAAATGCTGAAAGCATGGGAAACTGTAGCATCTTACATTGAGAAACATCACTCTAATAAGGAAGTGGCTATGCGCGCTGAAAATTTATTTAATAATAATGCTGTGTCGTATTTTCGCCACATTTCGAAGCGTCGGCAAAAATAAATGTCTCTGGACATCTTTCTAGTAAAAAAAAGAAGCTATGTATCATAGTTTTTTCAATTTTTTGTTTTTGTTTTCTGCAAATCGAATTCGAATTCCAGGTCGGTTCGTTCCGCGTTTGAAGAAAAGATGAAGATGATTTACTCTCCTTAACAATATGTATATAATTTTCTTTAAATAAACGTTATACTTAGCATTTTGTGAGTATTTTTTTTTCGATTTGGAACGCATTATCGTATTTTACATTAATTTATATGAGAAAAATTGTTTCGCAAAACAAGTGTTTCGCTTAACGAGTATGATTCTGAAATGAATTATGCTCATTAAGCGAGGTTCCCCTGTACTTTAGCAGTAAAACAATGTCAAGGCATTCAGCTTGACTTGTTAATGCTTTGTTTTACATGTGCATTTACAGTAAACAATAAACAGTTGAAAAGAAATGGTTCTTAAAAAAAAAGTGCATCAGCTATTATTATGAAAAGCTTAGTCTCTTGCTGCAGAGGCTGTCTGCCTGCACACAGCTTGACATTCTGTAGCTTCAGGAACAACCCACAGAGATTTCCAAAATGTCTGCACTTGGAACTGAAGCTCATCATCATCATCAATCAGCAGAACATTGCTCTGATCATGGCATGAATTGAAAGTCTTTCTTTAGCCAAATCTTCAGCCCTACATACTTTCATAGCCAATGCATCTTTAATATCTCGTATCCACTTTCACGGAGGTCTAGCTGTCTTGTTTTTTTAGAAAGCCTCTGTTCCCTGTTCTTTCCAGGGCCACCATGATATTTAACAAGGCCAAAACACTTCAGCTTTGGAGACAGGATGCTGTTTATGAGCTAGGTCGCCTTGATGCTTAGATCGTGTTGGATGCCTTTTTTGTGTGTTTTTACCCAAGGTCAGAGTTTAAAATTAACGTATAATGCTGAGAGCATGAGGCAAACTGCTTAATTAATAACTGCTTCGCTGTAGAGATGGTCTTGTTCATGGGTGAAAAAATCCAATAACAACAAGCAGCTGTCTAGGAAAAATCCTGCCATGTTATCAAGAATAACAACTGCCTTGGGCAGAATATAAACTACTGGCCACTGGGCTAACAGGCAAGTGCTCTAGCCCTCATGGTTTCCTTGGCTGCATGTAGCTGACGCAATTAAGACTTTCTGTTCAATTATAATGATTGGGTCATTTATACTGTCAAGATTTTCATGCTTTTTTTTTTGTCTTCTTCATCTTCACTTTCTCTTGTACCACTTCAGGTGTCGAGGGGACATATGGTTCTGGTTTGATATATTATATAATGCAAAATATACACTTACCAACTGGTAAATTAAGGCATGAGTCAATATTCTGGTTTGCCACTTCAGAAACCAACAACAGAGTATCTGAGCTGTCCTGGCTTTCACTGTGAGCAGCCTTCTCGTTCACTATTTTCTGTGTATAATCCCCAACACTAGAACCAGAGTGGCTGTTTGCACACACACCATGGTTAGTCTCAGATGCTTCTCTGCAATCAGTACACTTGGAAACACCAGGTGCATCAGAGATAGCTACTTGCTGGTTAGAGTCACTGGATGAAATTGTGAAGGTGCTGTCAGAGTTGCTCAGCACTTCGCTTTGAAGCCCTGAGTCACTGCTGTCGCATTTGTTCATGGCAAAATATGCCCTGCCCACTGCTGCTGCTGCTTCCAAGCTGTTATCAATTGTGGTGTGGTCCTGCGTTGTAGCCTCTGATAAGGCTGAATCTTCTGTAGCTAAAGTATTCTTACTGAGGGTGCCAGCAGTTGGAGTTTCAGTACATTCCGGCAAGGAAGCGTCAAGATTTTCCACAACAGGAATACTTTGTGTCAAGGTACTGCTGTCAGCATTTATTTCATGGTACAGTTGCTGTGTGAACTGCTGCAAATGAGTCTGACCTGAATCATCAGATGCTAGTTCTTTCTCAACATCCAAAGAGTTCCTCTCTTCTGCTTCTGTTTCACTGTAGAATGAACAGGATGATGTGGACAAGGATTCACTGCTTTGATTATGTATTTCATGGACCGAGTGTTCATTACACTGAGCAAGCTTTGCATTTCTAGAAGTTTCAAAATTGAGGGCCAGGGCTTCTAATCGTTCAGCTATTTCCAGGGCAGTCATTTCATTCTCCATGCTCCCATCATCTGACTCTTCTCTATCCTTGTCCTTCCTGCTTGTGGCTCCTGTTAGGTTTCTCTCTTCTCTACTTTTCTGTCTTTCTATTTTTGCATTTTGCTTTTTCTTTTCCTCAAGACTCAGTAAGAAAGAGGGCTCCTCTTGGCTACACAGCGCTCTTTCTAATGTATTTAGTTCTTCATCTGTTAAAATGCCCAACAGCTCCCTAGATCGAGGAAGAAACAAAAACATGTTATGAAAAAATTAAATGAAAACATTCAGACTCTTTCGACCCCAACCAGCATGTGATGTGTAAGCAGCACTATCTCCTTGAGTGCCAACAACCACTAAGTGTTCTCCCCAACCAGCATGTGATGTGTAAGCAGCACTATCTCCTTTAGTGCCAACAACCACTAAGTGTTCTCCCCAACCAGCATGTGATGTGTAAGCAGCACTATCTCCTTTAGTGCCAACAACCACTCAGTGTTCTTCCCAACCAGCATGTGATGTGTAAGCAGCACTACCTCCTTGAGTGCCAACAACCACTAAGTGTTCTCCCCAACCAGCATGTGATGTGTAAGCCCGCACTATCTCCTTTAGTGCCAACAACCACTCAGTGTTCTTCCCAACCAGCATGTGATGTGTAAGCAGCACTACCTCCTTGAGTTCCAACAACCACTCAGTGTTCTCCCCAACCAGCATGTGATGTGTAAGCAGCACTATCTCCTTTAGTGCCAACAACCACTCAGTGTTCTCCCCAACCAGCATGTGATGTGTAAGCAGCACTACCTCCTTGAGTGCCAACAACCACTCAGTGTTCTTCCCAACCAGCATGTGATGTGTAAGCAGCACTACCTCCTTGAGTGCCAACAACCACTCAGTGTTCTTCCCAACCAGCATGTGATGTATAAGTGGCACTACCTCCTTGAGTGCCAACAACCACTCAGTGTTCTCCCCAACCAGCATGTGATGTGTAAGTGGCACTACCTCCTTGAGTTCCAACAACCACTCAGTGTTCTTTAACACTTTATACTTTGTTAATTAGAGCACACCAAAGAAAGCTGGTTTTTCCCATTCTTGTTTTCATTACAGTCTCATTCTAGTAATGCTAGCTGAGTCTGTGTAACACTATCAAGCTCATGAAATTAACGTCCAATGCCCTAGCCCATTCCGATTTCAGGTTACTCAGTGACCATCGGGGGCCTCAATATATGCCTCATGGTTACATCAGGGGCCTTACTACTATATGCCTCACAGTTGAACAGGTTTTCTGGGATCTGTACCTGGAGGATTCTTATCTGAAAAGTCACAATTTGTGCCAATAGGTACTAATCCCTCGGTTGCAGTCCTAGTGGGGTTCAACATCCACTGCTCATCTACTAAGTAATCAAACAGCTTTCATCCACTACTGTTTTTCTCTGCTTCTTTCATGTGTATCCCATTTTTGATATTTTTGTATGGTGCTTATCATCTTCCATAGGGAGCCCTGGTAATGCAGTGACTAAATGCTTGCCTGCCAGCCCATAGGTCAAGGGCTCAAATCCGCACATAGGCAGATTTCAAAACTGATCTTGGCACCCAAGTCGACACTATATAAACCAAGTACCAGGTAATGTACTGGGAAGTAAAGGCAGCATACGTGATGCTGACCATATCACCCATCTGGTCTATAAAAATGTAAGTCTAGTACAATCTGCCCAATGTGTCAAAGGCATGAAAAAGGCCGGTTACTTTTAAGTACTTATCTTCCTTACACCTTGCAATTCTCACAAGTGTAGCTTTCAAGTTTTCCCTGTGATTTCAATGTTCTTTTTGGTTTTCACAGTCATCATTTACTGAGTTAATAAAAACATCAATTATACCAACAATACAAACACATATGAAGCTAATATTTACCCAAACTTCATCACACACAGCCAGAATATTTCAGACAATAACCAAGGCAATCTGTTGCAAACTTTACTTAGTCTATCTGTTGTAAATTGTCTGCATCTACAGAAAGCTTTATTTGGACCATTTGTTGTAAATTGTCTGCATCTACAGTAAGCTTTACTTGAAGCATCTGTAGTAAATTGTCTGCATCTACAGAAAGCTTTATTTGGACCATTTGTTGTAAATTGTCTGCATCTACAGTAAGCTTTACTTGGAGCATCTGTAGTAAATTGTCTGCATCTACAGAAAGCTTTATTTGGACCATTTGTTGTAAATTGTCTGCATCTACAGAAAGCTTTATTTGGACCATTTGTTGTAAATTGTCTGCATCTACAGTAAGCTTTACTTGGAGCATCTGTAGTAAATTGTCTGCATCTACAGTAAGCTTTACTTGGACCATCTGTTGTAAATTGTCTGCATCTACAGTAAGCTTTATTTGGACCATCTGTTGTAAATTGTCTGCATCAACAGTAAGCTTTATTTGGACCATCTGTTGTAAATTGCATCAACAGTAAGCTTTATTTGGACCATCTGTTGTAAATTGTCTGCATCTACAGAAAGCTTTACTTGGGATCATCTGTTGTAAATTGTCTGCATCTACAGTAAGCTTTACTTGGACCATCTGTTGTAAATTGTCTGCATCTACAGTAAGCTTTACTTGGACCATCTGTTGTAAATTGTCTGCATCTACAGTAAGCTTTACTTGGATCATCTGTTGTAAATTGTCTGCATCTACAGTAAGCTTTACTTGGACCATCTGTTGTAAATTGTCTGCATCTACAGTAAGCTTTACTTGGAGCATCTGTTGTAAATTGTCTGCATCTACAGTAAGCTTTACTTGGACCATCTGTTGTAAATTGTCTGCATCTACAGTAAGCTTTACTTGGATCATCTGTTGTAAATTGTCTGCATCTACAGTAAGCTTTACTTGGACCATCTGTTGTAAATTGTCTGCATCTACAGTAAGCTTTACTTGGATCATCTGTTGTAAATTGTCTGCATCTACAGTAAGCTTTACTTGGATCATCTGTTGTAAATTGTCTGCATCTACAGTAAGCTTTATTTGGACCATCTGTTGTAAATTGTCTGCATCTACAGTAAGCTTTACTTGGACCATCTGTTGTAAATTGTCTGCATCTACAGTAAGCTTTACTTGGAGCATCTGTTGTAAATTGTCTGCATCTACAGTACGCTTTACTTGGACCATCTGTTGTAAATTGTCTGCATCAACAGTAAGCTTTACTTGGACCATCTGTTGTAAATTGTCTGCATCTACAGTAAATTTTTCTTGGACCATCTGTTGTAAGCTTTATTTATGTTAATCTATAACTGTGTAGACTACATGAAATAACAACTGGATTTATATAGTGAATGGCTAAAATAATTTATCAACACAGGTATTCCACCTAAGAAAACCTGACACAAAAGCGCTCTAGAAAATTATCAATTGACAACATCAAACCATTAAACCTGGTTATCCTTTAAAAAAAAAATGGGTAATGACCCCTGGTAGATACTTAAAAACAAAATCCAATTAAAACAAAAATATTACAAGGTCGCTAACAAAGCAGAATCTGTTTTATTTTCCCTTTTGCACATAAATCTTTAAAAAAAATGAAATATATAAAGATATATAAAGGTAGTAATCAATAAAAATAAACAGAGTAAAGCATTAAATGGAACACATTCCCAGAAAAACCATTCGGTTTAAAAGAATATCAACCTGTATGCCATTTTGAGTTAATACATGCATAACCTGACCGTCGAAACATTTGCACACACACGAACACAGCCAATGGCATTAACCAAATGACTCACAAACAGCTCACTATAGACAAGTAACAAAAGTTAAATTTATGGAAAAACTGGTCTGCAACCAGAATTGTTAGAGCTTCTTAGGGTCATAGATTAAAGATATTACAAATGAACACAGAATGACTATCCAGAGCTTCCTCATGATTAAAAATTTTTCTGAATATCCTTTTCAGCAGAGCTTTTGAAATTTTTCCTATTGGTGACACACTTTCCGGACCAACATAATTTTGTGACACAGTAATTCAGTCCGCTACAAACCAGAGCTTAAACTAACCACTTATAAGAAATATGGACACAAATGTAGTGTTAGGCTAGCACAACACACTATATCTTTGCAGCCAGTTTACTACTGTGTTGCAACAGTTTGTAAACCCAAGCTTTACTCTGCAAACCAACCACAGCACTTGGAGGGGGGGGGGGAGAGGGGCTGTGTGTGGTTTTACTAGGCAATTTACGTCCAGTCCTGACAATGATACTATTTGACAAAAGGGAATTTGATGATGATGGTTCAATTACTAAGCTTATACCAAGAGGGGTTCTTCCAGGTCAGGGTTTAGCTGCCACCTGCCCGGACAAGAGGCACACAGTGTACAGATTATGGTTTTTATGTAGTCAGAATACAGAAAATCACTTTATCTTGCAGGTGATTCAATTAGAACACAGACCACACAATGTGAGAAACTACATTTCTAACTTCTCAACTAGCCTCTGATGATGATGATAATCATGTGTATTTTAGTGTGTCCAGTAAGCATTATTTTCTGCCTGTATTTTGCCACAAACTTATATGATTTCTAGTGAAACAGTGGTTAGTGAAATGTTTAATTTTGTTTTCATTTGAATGCAGTATTTGTTACATGAATATTCTGACCATTCAGAATCAGTTGAGAAAACATTTGCTGCAATGTTTGGCCCAGAAAATGTCGAGATTTCTCTTGAAACAAAATAATATCCCCCCCTGGCCCCTCCCCCTTCTCCAATCATAAAAAAAAAAATGCCTTCACATAACCTATTTATCTGACACTGACCTAATTTTGAGCAGCAGCGTCTGGAATGGTCTGAACATCTCTGACAAATTCCATGGATCATTGTCTGGATTTAAAGGTCCATCCTTAAAGATATGCACCCCACTGTTTAGGACAAATAAAAGGTAAAATAAAACAGTTACAATGCAATCCAAACAATCTACACCTGCAATGAGTCTTGTTATGAGAGACAAAGATGCATGTAGTTATTAAAAGTGAAAATTCACAAAACTGTAGCTTTTTGTAGTGAAAATTCACAACCAGAGTTCTTGGTGGGAAACATGCCCAAATTGTGTACCTCACAGTGAAACTGAAAGATACAAAGAGCTTTTATGAGACTGTTGCGTATCAGTTAAACCAGTAATAGGTAATATATCACACGTCCACATTATTTGCTAACCGTTAATGTAAAAATACAGGTTATGCCATTGCAGCCAGTGAGTAGTTGTTGTTATTGATCCAGCGGCGCATGATCTTTCCCCTTTTGGCCCAATGTCATATAGTGGAATTTATATGTTTTCACAAGCTGTTCTTTTCCTCCTTACAAGGCTGTCTGGTCTCCGAGGGAGTAGCATTCTTCTAGTCTCGCTGAGTTTTGGGCACTCAAAGAGATGATGGTCAATAGTTTTGTAGGGGTAGTTACATAGCTGGCACTCTGGGGAGTGTTGTGGCTGTATTCTGTTTAGGTGTCCATTGAGTATAGTATGTTGTGTTCTGAGTCTGAAGATGGTGGCCTGGTCCCTTTTTGTTAAATGGTTAATGCTGTCGTTAGGATCAGGGCTAGCCATGGATCTATAAACCTCTCTTCCAGTATCTTCTATGTCCCATCTGTTCGGCCAAGTCTCTTTATAGTTTTGTAAGTGTTTTTGCTGTCTGTAGGGCTGTAGGTGGTTGTTCTTGTGCTGCTCCTTTCTTTGCCAGTCTGTCAGCTCTGTCATTACTTGGTGTCCTGGAGTGTCCTGGAATCGACTGCATCACTATTCTGATGTTGTATGAGTTAATAAGCTGATCAGCATCTAGAATTATCTTAGCTATGTCAGTTCTGCACCGTTCACTGCCCTCCAGAGCTTGAAGAGCAGACATTGAATCGGTGAAGATGACAATATTTTGGGCCTTTGAAGGATAAACATCCATTACAGTCTTTAGGTGGTATACTGCTGTTTCCAGTGCAATTATTTCAGCTTCATAATTTTAGCAGAATTCCCCGCATCAAATATCTCTTCAATAGATCCATCAGGGTAACCTATGTAGATTCCGTAACCTGCTTTAATGGTAGCTTTGAATGCAGATCCATTAGTATAAACATGTATCCATTATTCGGGGTAAGAATCAATGGTCTTTAGTGATGAGTTCATAAGGGTGATTGGATCGGACTGTTTAGTTTCTTTGTCTACCAATTTCAACCTGACTTCTGGAACTTTAAAGCGAGCATGTGGTGGTAAGTTTCTTGCAACATTCTGAGTGCCCTGACGTCTTTCTTGGAGGTGGTATCTGTCCTGTACCTCATGTACACAATGTAAAACTGATTTGTGCTTTATTCTTTGCATTCCCAATTTTTTATAAGGTGTCTATTATTGAATGGATTTCACATGCAGCAGTTGGAGTAGACCGCATAGCTCCGCTGTAATCGGGAGGGGGGGGTGGGGGGGGGGGGGGGGGGGGGGGGGGGGGGGTGGTGGCGGCGTAGGCATTATTTTGTACTCTGTCAAGAGAGTCTAGGTTTGTCTTGGAGAAGGTTGCATGCAAGCAGTGAGTTGTTATACTCTATCACAGAGCGAACATATCTGAGATACAAGCCCCTCAGAGTTTCCTTGTCTGATCCCTAAGCTGTACCTGCAAGTCACTACAATAACTGCAACCGCCTCAATGCCTTATTCCTTATGTGCCAGTGAGAAAGTGGGATGGTTAAAGATTAAAGTCGAGAGGATCGACTTCATTGCACCGGGTTTGATCCCATATTGCTAGGTCTCTCTCTGCAGAATGGCGAGCCGCCAGCCGAGAGCATCGCACACAGCAGAAACTACGCAGCTCTGGTGACGATCTCCATGAAAATTGCACTCATGAACTGAATGATGCAGCTGTGAAATGAACCCACAACCTTCAGAGAGCTTGAGGCAAACAGCTTGACCGCTTCACCACGGAGACCCCCCAAGTGGAATGGGATCATATATAAAGACACAGCATTTAAATGTGTATTGTGAGTTGACCAGATCCTTTATTTGCCCCAGAGAGATCTTTTAAAATAATTGATAATTATCAGGTACACACACTGCTGAGCCATATAAAAGAATGGATTCATTCCCCATGCTGGTTCACACCCTGCCATGAGTGTTTTCGGTGACTGTACTTTATCTCCTAGTGCTAGGTATGATATGATTATTGTGATCACAATTTTTTTCATTTATACAAACTTTTTATGATAAAACTGAGCATTTCTGTTTTGTTTTGCAGTTTTCATTTAATCCCATAAAGCTATAAAGTATGGTGTTGACTGACTAGGCCAGTATTTCCTTTTTTTCATACTTTTCATAGGCAGTACAAAGGTCAGACTTTAGTCTTGTTCCAGACCTGATTTTTGCATGCACATCTGTTGTACAGATCTGGCTTATCTGTATTAATAAGTCAGGTGCATGAAGGTTGGCTGCATTGGATCTACAACATGCTCCGTCTCATCCCGATTCTACGCTCTCACAGACTGCTGCCCATCCATCTCTTGATATTGTCCTCCCACTTGTATCTTCCCTTCGACCTTTCCCTTCAGTTTGGTTTTTAAATGTGTGTTATGTCTTATTTGTATGCCGACCCTTGGTTCCTCATCTCTCAGGCAGATGCCTTCTAGACTTTAAAGGAAACATCCCTAACTAGCAACTCTTACAGCATGCTTGTTAGGGGGCAGTAGATCTAGTTCTTTCTTTCCCCACAATAGGGCCCTGGAGCCCACACTTGGAGTAATTAACTCAACAGCCAGCAGCAGGACACCACTAAGGTATATTGTGTAATTAACTGAACCACTCGACTGTACCTGACAATGGCAAGCCTGGGTATTGTGAACATCAACGCTGGATCATATTCATCGATCATGTCTCTTGTTAACAGACCTACTTTTAAAGCCCTGAAATGAATAGTCACATGTTTTCATAAGACACATTTTCATGACTGAATGATTGAGGAGTGTGCAATATGATCAGTGTGATATGAGTATAAATTTCAGGATCCTCACCGGTGCTACAGAGACTGTGCACTGTGCTGAGCTTCTTCAAACTCAGATTTGAGTTAGAAGAAGAACGGAGCCCTTATAGATTACTAACCGTGAGCCATGATGTTGATCCGTTGTTCAAACTTCAAAAGTAGAAATCTAATAGGAAATGACAGCTACCTTTTTCTGATGTTTGTGGTAAGTTGTCTTTGTACTTTAACCTCTTGCAAAACATTTTGGCTACTCATTTTGGCTGTCCAAGGAATTTTAAGCAATCTTTTGTGGAACCATACCTCTAAGGTCTAATACATATGTACAGAATAGTGCATGTGTTCAAAATGTATAGTCAAAAAATGTTTTATACTGCTGTTACAATCACAAGTGAGACCTTTAATTGATTGGCTAAACAATAACATAAAAGTAAAAAAAAATTTTTTTTTAAATAAAGCACCTTGTTTCACACCTTTCAGGTGTATTGTGTTAAACCTATATTTTATAGACCAAACAGCACTTGGTGGATGATTTGGTCAGCATCATACCTACCGCCTTTACTTCCCAAGAGTGTACCTGGTAGCCACTCATGGCTGGGTCGACCTGGGAGCCAAGGTCATTTTTGAAAAAAAGTTCAGCCACCGCCAGGAACCGAACCCATGACGAGCGTCCAACCACTAGACCACGGTGGCTCCCATACAATAATAATAGGCTTAAATTAAAATATTCTCAACCTCTGAATTTTACACTAGACAGAGTTCAGTGGTCCCCACATTGGGTCATGCTGCATCTCTTTTGTGTGCATGAGTACATCACTTTTTTTGGGGGTCTTTCATCTCTCAATGGAGCATGGGTCCATTAACCAACTCACACTTAGCCCTTAACCCTGTCACCGCGAGAAGACTAAATCTAGTCACTTCTGGTTCTGACATAATCCAGTAAATGCAGATATATCAGCCTTTCGGCAGTGACCTGTTCTTAAAAAGAGCAGTTAAATTCTGATGGTTCTATGTGCACCTGCGCAGTCTTTGATAGGTCAGGATATGAATATATTAACTAAAAATGGCAACTGGGGATGGGGGTCCTTAAGACCCCAGTGGCTTTTAAAAAAAAATCAAGCTGATGTCAAATTTCCTTGTGTGCTTCAATGATAGAGGTCACAACATGAGTCACCCAATAGTTTTTTTTTAGGCCATGGGAAATGCATTCTTTTTTAATGCTTCACTCTTTTTATGATTATTGATTAAACCCTTTATAAATAAAAGGTTCATAAATAAAAAAAAAAAAAAATGTTTAAATGTCATATTTAAAAATTTTTTTATTAGTAGTGTGTACATTTTTCAATGATTTTTTTCTGGGAATTTCCACAGGTTTGTGACACATTGTTTTAGAATTCACAGGACAAAAGGGTTAATAAACTTGTTCATTTGTGGAAGGCACCCAGTGGAGGAATTGAGTCAATCTGCACACTGACTCTCTTCCAAAATGTGTGGTAAGTTAACAGAGCTATTATTCACTTCTTCCCTTAGGAGCCCAAGTAACATGGCAACTCTAGCTAAAGTAAAGCGATCAGGATGAAAGATAGAGTGGATTTGAAATGTCAGTCCTTATCTGGGTTCTAGTCCCCACTAGGAGAAGAGGGGAAGGATAGAATAAACCAAGTGGTTCCCCACCAACAAGCAAGCCATAAAGGCATCTAATTAGGGATTTCCTTCAAAGTCGGAGTGCTTCTGCTTGAGAGGAGAGGGACCAACAGTCTGCATACAAATAAACTATTTTGTAAAAGAGATGTGCACAATAAGCTCAAGTGCTAGAAAAAAGATCAGAGTAAAGAACTGGATGAACAACCAGAATATTCTGCCAGAGTTAACCGATGGTGAACGCTAAGAAGAAGAAGATGAATGGACAAAAGAAGATATTAGGATATTTTTCAAACAGATGTTACATAATGAAAATGTTAATCAAGTAATCCACATTTATTGGGAATGTCATGAGAAGGTGAAAACTTAGAGTACGTCAACAGGAAAACTGGAGGAAAGAGAGGCAGGGAAAGACCAATGGAGAAAATGTGAGCAGTTCAGCAGCTCAACAGGGAGGCACAGAGGTATTTAAAAAAAAAAGGACTGACCATACACATGACAGGATGCTGTAGACCAGCTATGTCAAACATATGGCCTGCACAAAGGATACAAAAGCATAAGTCATGCATTAAATGGACTTCAATTATCTGTCACATGTCGCCCTCATGACAACACAAATAGGATCTATATGCCCCTCGAAGACCCTCAGTTTGACATCCCCGCTGTAGACAGACAGAATGGCAATGCCACGTGGCATGGACACAAAGTGCAGTTTCAGATCCTAGACATACACTTCAAACACACTCAACATGCATCATAAACCTGATTTCTCTACTTTTTATTATGCAATAATGATGAGTGTATTTAGCTCCACATGGTAAACTATTTCAAATTATAGCAATAAACTTGGAATCCAATATATTTCTACTTTTGTTAAAATTACATGCACATCATCACAGTTTATGCACTGTAACTAAGTTAAAATTGCATACAAATCATCACAGTTTATGCACTGTAACTAAGTTAAAATTGCATACAAATCATCACAGTTTATGCACTGTAACTAAGTTAAAATTGCATACAAATCATCACAGTTTATGCACTGTAACTAAGTTAAAGTTGCATACAAATCATCACAGTTTATGCACTGTTACTAACCTCTGCACAGTCTCTGAGAACAAAACTGTGATTTCTTGCACTAAGTCATACTCATGTGCTGTTTTCACAGGTACCATAGCACTTACATAACTGAAAAACCAACATAAATGTTACAGAGGCTTATATCAAAATTAAGTCATTGCTGCAAGAACACACTGATTCAACAACATATAACCTGCATTTTACCTGGAACTGGCAAAATTATAAACACATAAAAAATGGCAATACCACAGTCGACTTGAAAATGGTGCTCTATAAGCAACAAATAAAGACACAAAATGTCAGGTCCTCGGCGAAGGAAAGCTAACAAATACATTTGAAATAAAAACAAGTGTGTAACAGGGATTTTGTGTGTGTCACCCATCCTACTAAAAGTTAAAGTTGAAGGATTGATTTCATTGCACTGGCTTTTATCCCATAGGGCTCTGTCTCTCTCCGCAGAACGGTTATCCGCCTGCGAAGAGCATGGCACAGAGCACAAACTCCACAGCTCTGGCAACGAATCCCAGGGATCTCCCTAAAAATTGCATTCGTGAACTGAAAGGCGCAGCCATGGAGCGAACCCATGATCTTCAGAGCGCAAGGCAAACAGCTTGACCACTTCGCCACGAAGACCCCCTACCCTACTATTTACTGGCAACAGCCATCATCAGCTTGATGACCGGGACTTTGCAACAGCCATCATCAGCTTGATGACCGGGACTTTGCAACAGCCATCATCAGCTTGATGACCGGGACTTTGCAACAGCCATCATCAGCTTGATGACCGGGACTTTGCAACAGCCATCATCAGCTTGATGACCGGGACTTTGCAACAGCCATCATCAGCTTGATGACCGGGACTTTGCAACAGCCATCATCAGCTTGATGACCGGGACTTTGCGGATGATACTTCTCTTCTGTCCCACTCACAGAATCAGATGCAAGATAAATTAAATATCCCTAACGCTAAGTCTAAAATCCATATGAGAAAGATAAAGATAACGAGAATAAACCAGGCAAATAGTAATGTGGCTTCTCTTGATGATATCCCACTCAAAGATGTGGAGTCATAGACTTATTTGGGCACTGATGCAGATAAAGATAGGGAAACTGATACAAAAAGCAAAAGGACCTTTCACAGCACTATAAAACTTGTGGAGGTGAAAGTAAATTAAAACGCTTAACTTCAAATTTATAATTCTAATTTCAGATCAGTACCAGTATATGGAGCAGAAACATGAAGAACTAAAATAATTACTTATAATCTTCAAACATTAATTAACTGGTACCTGCATAGAATAGAGGGGATTAATTTGTACGATAGAAATACAAATGTCTAGCAATGAATTAAACAAATTCCACTGAACCAAGAAGTAAAAACGAAAAAAAAATTAAGATGTTGGCATTGGATAGGATACACACAGAGAAATGCAGGGAACAATAACACCAATGTCTTTCCAGTGGAATCTACAGGGGCACAGAAATAAAGGCAGACCAAAAAAAACACATGGAGAAGGGAGCTAGAGAGTGACTTTAAAAAGGTAAGAAAGACATATAGTGAGCTACATACAAAGGATAGGAGGGCCTGTGCTCCACTTGGAGATAAAGGGCACACAAAGAAGAAGAAGAATGAAGGCAACGATGTTATAAAATTGGTCAGAATAAGACAATGTTACTATTTTCCCATGAATGACACAATGTACCGATAATGACAAATTCATAATAAACAATGACAATATCAGAGAACGTTACAAACAGCAATATCTTTTTATCACACATCTAAATTACAGCAAATAAATATATATTACCTTAACTCAAATTCAGCAAACAGCTTGTCAAATATGATCAGTGACTCTTTGATCTAAAACAAAACACAAGAACTGTTGATTATAAGATGCTAGAAGGAACATAAATAACAAGGAATTATGTGAACATCTGGTATAAAACTGTGTTTCCAATAGTCTCCACTTATTTCACAATTAAAAAAATAGACAAAATGAACAGAAAAATATATTTTTTAATTTTTTTCTTCATATGCAACAGACTTGTAATCAGACCAAAGTGGATGAACAACCAGAACTTTCCACCAGAGTTTACAACTGGTGAATGCGAAGAAGAAGCCTGAAGAAGACCAAAGCAGGATCAGAACCTTTGCCGCTAACAGAAATAATGCCAGGACAGGAAACACAGGTACTTTATATAGTTTTATGCCAATAAAAAAAATGTAGGGTCTGCTGCGAAAGCTAATTTGTTTCCTATGTAAAGAAACCCTGTAATGCACCATCATCATAACTTTCTGCTTTTGTCAGAGGAATGGCGTGTGGTCTAGCATGCGGGCAGCACTGGTTCTTGTCATTCTGTGTGGATGTATAAAAAGTAATAAAAAGAAAGTGCAGATCCCTTTTCACGCATTTAGGTGTATCGGGTATATGGGAAGAGCATCCCATATTTTTACAAACCATCGGCACTAGGTGGGTAATGTGGTCAGCATTACGCCGGCCGTCTTTACTGCTCCAGGACAGCCATCCTGGTACCCATTTTAGGCTGGGTCCACCTGTGACGCCCCATACCATGATAAAAATCAATGAAGCCAGCAGTGAGTTTTGATCACGGTATGAGTCGGACTGGCAACTCCTAAGCCACTGACGCTGCATGTGTGGATGCATCATGTCTCTAATGTCATCAAACCATTTTTTTAATTCAGTGATGTCTTGATCTGATGTACCATCTTTTTTAGGTGTAGTGCCTGTGTGACCGCATTCTATCCTAACAAGATGACCAGGACCATCTTATCTGCATCTCTGTAAACTTGGAGGAAGGTATTGTTGTTCCCACAATCGGATGCTTTCAGTTTTCACTTAGTGAAGGATACACTCAGTGACGTGTGGCTGAACGGTTAAGCATGCTGGATATATGCGGCACACCCAGGCTAGAATGCCCGGCAAGGTCATGAATTATTTTTCTGTCAGGGGCAAAAATAAAATCCTAACCTGTGGCAACAGAACCGGCCATCAGCCTAAAATCCTCAAAGTGGTAAATACAAGAGGTAAAAGGCAGTTTGTCAGATGAGAGCCTGTAAGGTATACCATCAATAACAACATCATTCCACTATAGCTATACATAACTTACAGAATCTGTATATTCATGTACATTGCGAAGACACTGATCTCTGAGAACATTCCTCAAGCTGTCCAAGTTTTTCGTCAGAGCTCTGGCTAATGGACGCATACAAGCACTTTCAACTTCTCTGTTCATGATACTTGAACCAGCGGCTAAACACTGAAAATAAACAATACCAGGGATGAATCATGAGTCAATGGCATATTGTTTATCGACAAAGGATATCGCCATCTACTAGTGGGGGCTAGAGTGACTTTGAGACACAATGTACACTCCTAAGCTTGTTGCCCCCCCCCCCTCATAATAAAAGAACTATGACACTGTTATACATTATCATCCCCTTGCCCTAAAGCACTTGTTGCCAACTGGTATTCCAGACAAAGTAAAGGGTACATGTTATCATTACAAAATATTTTTTTAATTGGGTGTGGGGGGGGTGTTGTGATTCTAGTGATTTTTTTTTTTAAAATATGGCTGTTGAAAAGTATGGGGTCCATGGCTGATCTGTGAAAATAAGAGTGGGTTGTGAGTCTTATTTAACTGTAAACACCAACCACAAGCAGGGCTATTCCGTGGAGGCCTAGCAAGTGGGCCGCCGATCATTGTACTGATGTATATTGTATTAACTGTATTAATGATCTTGCGATGGCAGGGTTTGGGCCTCTGGCCTGTGCTGCTCTTCTTTGTCAACATTATGAGCAAACTTAGTTGAAAAGCCCTGACCTAAAGCATGAGTGGGGATCATCCAGTTTTACCTTAGCCCATAAAATCATTTGATTTGGCCCCACCTAGGCACACTGAAATGTTTGACATCGCAGGCTCATTTTTCAGTTAATATTTTTGCACAATCTGCAATTAGGCTATAAATATTGACACAGTACTAAGCAGAAATGAGCTGTCCCACACCCACCCTCAAGGCATTGCTGTGCACTCTAGTTCTGATTTCAAATGTATATGTAAGTTTTCTCTTCACGTTGCCTTTATTAAGTTAATGGTCTTCTCTGGGTTTCCACAGTGCCTCATCAGTCTCTAAACAGACTGATTATAAATGCAAAAAAAAAAAAAGACTTTTCATAGTCCACAATTTCAATGTACACTGCAGAATCTTTTTAGAAGACTGCCTTCAATAGTATCTCTAAATCTGACGAATGATTTTGTTTAACACTTATTCAGCAGTGACAAAAACCATTTAAAAAAAAACACATTCTTGTTGCACTCATTAGCAAAGGATAGAAGACTTGGCATCAGTTGGTTGAGGGCCTAAGCTTTATTGGAGTAAAGGCAGAGGAAGAAGATTGTTGCATTCCTACTTGCAGATCCTCTTTCTATGAAGCTGAATCAGATTGACATCTCATTAGTCAGCTAGTATTTCTTCAGCCTTCCAAAATCTACTGAATAATTTGGCAGAATTGTTTATATTGGCTTGAAAGCTTTTGCTGGAAGCTTTATTAACCAGCAGCCTGCCTATCCTACATGATTTTAAACATGCGTCTTATTTCTTCATTAAGATGGTTTTTCACGTTGTATCTAGCTCCACTCCTGCAGGCTGGGTATCTCTGGGACCTTTTAAGGACTAGTCTATTCAAACTACAGCCTCATAAAAATATGAGCTGTAGAATTGCAAGAAGCTGGGGAAGAAAAGATAGCAAGGTAAGGAACTGATCATCGTACCTCACATGTCAAGGCCTTAAACTTCATATTCCACAGGGAGCATCTGTTGTAGGACCAGCTTTTCCCTGTGCTGAGCCGAATTTTTATAATGAAAAAAAAAAGGGATAAACCCACAGGTCCTTAATAAGCATGTTGTAGAAGGTGAAAAATGAAGGTTTTGTTTACACTGGATGTGTTCCGCCAAAAGGAATCGATATCACAACCTAGCTGTAAAACATAAAACAATGTGCTGGTAGCCATTTGAACTCTTTCGGTACCAATGAGCTCAATATATGTTTGTTGACTATCCTATATATGATACCTATTTCTTTACTGTTTTTATCCCATTCTTCAGTTAACCCTCTTTTTTCCAGTTTTTAATATGACCTTCCATAACAAAGCTATATTCTAGCTGTATGAGATGGAAAAAAACTGTTGCTATGGGATACAAAAACATCAGCACAGACACTGCTGAATACAAAACTACCTGGCACTGAAAGAAGTAAAGGCACTTATAAGAGGAGGAGGAGCAGCAGCTGCCGCAGAGAAGAAGGAGAAGAAGAAGAAGAAGGAGGAGGAGGGGGAGGAGAAAAAGAAGAAGAAGAAGAAAAAGAAGGAGGAGGAGAAGAAGAAAAAGAAAAAGAAGAAGGAAAAGGAGGGGGAGGAGGGGGAGAAAAAGAAGAAGAAGAAGAAGAAAAAGGAGGAGAAGAAGAAGAAGGGGGAGGAGGAGGAGAAGAAGATGAAGAAGAAGAAGAAGAAGAAGAAGAAGAAGAAGAAGAAGAAAGAGTGTTTTCTTATTCAGAAGTTTCTGACATTAACATGAAGCTGCCAGTGCACACAAAGAAGAAAATGTGATCTGTGGGATAGTGTAACTCGTTTAACAAATAACTAAACATACAACAAACAATTCAAAGACATCAAAACCTACTTACTGCTAAATTATAATAAAATGTCAATTAAAACATGCACTTACTTCTGCTCCAAACCACAGCTGTCCAGCTAAATTCTCCTGAATAACATCATCTGGAAACTTGACCCTGAAGTCCCTGGATGCCCTGAAATCCTTCACCTGCTCATCCATGATCTGTGAGACAACATTCAGGACTCTTGCTTGGCAAGCCCGCAGCTGGTTGACCAAAGCAGTGCATCTCTCTGGGTCTTTTCTCCCCTCAAAACTGTCCAGCTCTGCAGCCACTTGATTGAGATCCTCATCGGCAAAGTAAAACTGTGCCAGGAGTGAAGAGTCTGTTCTCTAAGTAAATGTAAAAAAAAAAAAAAAGACTAAAATTAGTAGTACTAGTTGGTGGTGATGTTTAATTGTTATAGTAGTGGTGGTGGTTACAGCCGTAGCAGTAGTGAATGAAAGAATCAAAAACTGGCATCACTGAATTCAGGCATACCCACATATGCTCCATCCTCTTCCTCAGCTGGCAGCAAAGAGTTCCCATACTGGTGGTGCCAGCTGCAGTCTGATTCAAAGTCCATCTGTCCTTTCCTCTGCACTCTCAAACAGCCCAGAACCTCTGCCTACTTCCGCTGATTGAGTCTTCAAGGTATGGATACTTCATATGTCCCTGTGCACTGTTCACTTGATGATCTTTGAGTGTTTTAACCAGGTCCAATTTATCATAAAGTAGCTAACCTCCAGTCGGCATCTGTGGCTTAGATGTTGCGAACGCACTTCGTAATGCCGGGTTCTAGCCCAGCTGTGGGCCTTGCGTTGGTTTCAACGGTGGTATCGAGATGCCGACTTCCCAGAAAGTAATGACAAACTACTGGATGTAAATTTTCCTTAAAAAAAACCACAACAGCCAAAAAAATGCTGGGGTTTGTTTTGCAACGTCCTGTAAAGGATACGCAACTAACTAACCGCAAGAAGACAGGCAGCTGACAATCTATCAGCGTGCTCATTACCCAGCCCCTTAAAATGTCCTCAGCAGAAAATAAGTTCTATGCTTCTTATCTGAGCCTTATGAAGCACTGCAAACCTTTCTAGGCATAGGATACCAGTCTAAATTTTTTTTTAAAGTTTGCTTGGTCAGTCTGTTATAATTGCATACTGGACTATACTCTCCAGCCACCAGAAAGCTGCTATTTCTGCCTCCCTCTCCAAGCTCATTCTTGATGATGCAACGTAATATGTGATGTTATCCTTCTTTAGTCGTAGTAGCAGCAGGTGGGATGGTCATACTAGTACTAGTTGCGGTAGTAGTTGTAGTAATAATAATAGAATTAGTATAGTAACATCTCAGTAAAGAATCGACACCACAGCATACTTGTGATAATATTGCATTATCAAGCACTGAGTCAGCATCTGTGGCTTAGAAGTTAATGAATGTAGTTCTATAATTCCAACATGCCAGCTCAGATTCAACTGAAGGAAATCTGGTGGTAGACCATTTTGCACTGATTGTGACAACAGTATGAGCATCAACCATTCACAAAGCAATGGCAAACTACTGAAAGTAAAAGTATCTAATAAAACCACAAAAAGCCAACAAATGCTGAGAATGGTTTACAATGTCCTTGAACAGAAAATACAACTAACATTATCTAGAGGCCCATTTTCAGTAAACTGGATTATTATTATTATCATCTCATGCTAAATCTTCCTATCTCTCTAAGAAACAGCTCCATGTTTTTCTTAACATTCATTTCCTGTCTCTTAATTCATTTCACTTGTGTTTTTTCTTTTCTGTTTGTCTCAATATATTTCTCCTACAAGAAGTGCTCCTTTCATCTTAGCTGGTTCAGTTATATTTTTCAGTTCTGAAAACCTGTTCATAATTGGTTGAATCAAGGCTTTTAATGGATGGAGCAGCCAGCCTCATGTCGTCATCCTTAAACACTTTTTACCACACACCCGGTCAGAAAAAAAATATTCTTCTGCTTAATTTAGGAATGTTTGCAATGAAAGGTACTTTTCTAGAACAGTAATTCCAAATTTAAGGGGTTCATTATATTATTTAGATTTTAACAAACAAACCCTTAAACCCCATATTGTCTCCTTTGTTTTTAAAAAAGTAAAAAAAAAAAGGAATGAGTTGTGGCAGACACTTGAAAATAAGACAGGGAGGGAGGGGAGGGAGTGGGGGTGGGGTGGGGGTCTATCTAAGAACCACCGTTCCAGAACATTGATTCAAGAAGTTTATAAGACATCTTATAGTGTTTAGCTGAATGTAGTTGTTTAAGTTTTTGCTTTTTTTAAAAATGTTCCTCTTTTATGGGCAGGTCACGGCACCTAATTATCTCTTCTTCTTCTTCTGTCCGTTAGCTCTCGTTGGAGCACAGATCCTAAACAACCTCAAGCCTGTGTTGTTTCCATTCCCTGGTGTACCTAATAATCCACACACTCTACACTTAAAGAGATGCATCCTGGATCTTAGAACAATGAGGCAAAAATCCCCATTCAACCTTTAAGAAAGAAAGTTTAGGATATCTGCAAAAGCTACACCAAATGATGTACCCTGCAGTCTTGTTCGGGTAAGGGATGTATCTCATGTTGAGCCAACACCTTCTCCAAATTAAAAGCCTAGCGGCAAATTCCTTTAGGTGGAGTGTGCAGGCTAACACACATGTGTAGTACTTGTAGTTCAGGATGGCATTGATTAGTAAAACTGCTGGTCTTTATGTGTGCAGTTATCCTTTTTTTTTTTTAATTTACATTTTCAGAATACGTTGTACAGTGTTAAGTGTTATTAACTATACCTGTAAAATGTTCTGTACCTGTATGTAGCTGGCATTATAATTCTTTCAGTGGATATAATGTAAGTGTGTTTAAATTTTCTTCCAAGAGAAAGATGGCTAAAAATCTGAAAGGAAACTGAAAGCTCACTAAGTTCACTCACTAATTATTAGCATATTAAATTACTGCATACTATAGGTGATAGACTGAGCGGTTACTTTTATCCATCTACATATATGGACACTGGGACACATGAAGTATACGTGGATATTATTTTAATATTTGAAGTGGATTATGTGGATCTTCACCAGCTAAAATGTAAGTAGTTTCTGTTTCTCTATTGTTCAAACTAAGGCCCCTTGTTGTTACTTTTTCCCTTAATTTCTATGTAGCGTGACACGATATCTTTGACTGAAAACGGGACATTCCAAGAAGAATTTGAATGAAAATGGGAGGACAAGAAGAAGATTGTGAATATACTGGGTGGACAAGGCTAATATTGTGAATATACTGGGCGGACAAGGATAATACTGTGAACTCGCTGTGTGGACAAGAAGAATATTGCGAATATAATGTGTGGGAAGAATATTGCGAATATAATGTGTGGGAAGAATATTGCGAATATAATGTGTGGGAAGAATATTGTGAATATACTGGGTGGACAAGGATAATATTGTGAACACGCTGTGTGGACAAGAAGAATATTGCGAATATACTGGGTGGACAAGAAGAATATTTCAAATATACTGGGTGGACAAGAAGAATATTGCAAATATACTGGGTGGACAAGAAGAATATTTCAAATATACTGGGTGGACAAGAAGAATATTGCAAATATACTGGGTGGACAAGAAGAATATTGCAAATATACCAGGTGGACAAGAAAAACACTGCAAATCTAAAAAAAAAAAAATCCTATAATTTATTATTATTACTTTTCATTAAGGAACTAATACATCTTAAGAAGACAAACGATTCTATTCTCAAGCTTATTCCTATAATATTTTTGGGGAGTACTCAGGGGACGGTCGGGAACACACCGAAAACTTGGGACTGTCAGAGTGACAACAGAACATATCGTTAGCCAGGGGTGATGATGCCACATTAAGCTGATGATGTCAGCACCTAGGCCATTAATCTGGAGAAGGCGATGGTTAAGTCCTCTCATACTATGTCATCTCAAACATCTTACTCTGTACTCCCAGTATAGTCCCCCCCCCCCTCGGGCTGGTTCTCCCCCCCCCCCCCCCCCCCAGTAATATTGTTGTAAAAGGTGACCAATAAAACTAGATGTTTGTTTCGAAACCAAAGACCAAAAGTCTGCATACAAATGAACTAGATCTTTAAAATGGATGTGCAGGAAATGCTCAAGTTCTGGAAGAAGACTAAAATTTCAGAAGTGGATGAACAACCAGAACTCTCTGCCAAAGTTTAAAGCCAGTGAAAACTATGGAGAAAAAGAGGTTATTTTTTAAAAGTCTATTTGCAACATGTTTTTAAAAAATCTCCCTACATGTCTTTTACCCTGTGAGTTCCAGCGAAGGGATATTCAAGTTGTAGTATCATTAAGATTTATTAACGTGTATGCTTTAAAACACTTGCTTTGCATGATCTTTCTGAGTCATCTCCCTTATTGCATACAAGTTTAGACTTATTCTGGAGCTAATAGTTAAAGAATGTTTGTAGCTTATTAGTAATTGTTTTAGTCATCTCCATGCCTTTGACACATACACCAGTACTGATCAGATTTAGAGTTATATCAGTCTGGTACTTCACACAGCTGTAAACCAACTTAGTGGCTTGTAGAAGACTATCATCACAGCATTCCAGACAGATTCATACGAGCTCTGATTTATCTTCAATAGCCCCACACGTGTCAAATAACTGATCATATATGTTCTGTTGATTAATCAAACATCTTCTGCTCTGAGTGAAATGCTCCGTATCTGGTGGTTCCAGATTAACCCTTTGAGTCTAGAGTGTTTAGCATCAGAGGCCCAAGGGGTAGTCAAGAGAGACATAAAATCAGCACATCTTGCATTCATTGGGCTTTTAGGTAGAAACCTATAAAGGTACGATGCGCTCCTTAGGACTGAAAGAGTTAAAAACCACATATCTCTACACCTGGACAGGGAAAAGAAGCCATGCCTGTCACTATAATCTTTACAACATATATCCCAAATGGAAGTGATGACATTGCTTCTGTCCTGTGCTCGAACAGTCATAGTAAAAGTGCCTGCCAGATAATCTGCATGTTCATTGGCCAGACGCAAAAAATAAAGAGTATCAATTCAGGGGTCAGCGTCTTCAACTTAGACATGAATTTACATGGTATCTTCGACTTACAGCCCGACTCCGTTCGGAATAACAGGCTGCAAGCTAAACTGGTCGTAAGTTGAATTTCTATTTTTCAACACTATTTTAATTCAAACATGTTATAAACATTGTACATAAAATATGAAAATTCAATCTATGTATATATAATAATCGTACACAATGTGAAAAAAAACATAATATGTACTTTACTGCATCAGTTCCGGGAAATGTTAGACTATTTTTCTGAATTGTTTGGTTCTCTTCTTCGACAAAATTGTCTGTCACTACACTCGGCCGACCGCTAGGATCTTTATCATGGACATTTGTTCGCCCTTTGTCAAACATTCAACACCATGTATTAACCATACTATCAGCAATAACATCAGGCCCATAAACCCTTATGAGTTGCCTGTGAATTTCTGCAGCAGTTATTTTTTGCTAACCAAAAAAAAAAAAAAAAAAAAAAACATTGTTTTTTTGCACTTACATAGATCACTCACAAAAGCATCAAACAAGATTTTGACCCAAAAATAAAATAGCACAAAGTTAGCTAAGGAACCACATAAACCTATTGTATTTGCAAATTTACATTTTCTATCGGTGTCTGTCACTGCGGTCAAAACAGGACTTACTTTTAAAAAACATGCCTTGTAGTTATCTTTCTTTATTTACTATTTTGATTTATTTATTTTCTGTAGTTGTAAGTGCCGACGGTCATAAGTTGAATAAGTTATAAGTCGAGGTGTATAAGCTTCACCTTCTCTAGACACTCAAACTACAAACACAAGCTATATCTATTTTTGATTCTTTCTTTGTAAGAAATCCACTTAAACAATCACTTTACAACATACACTTGATATGTTCCTATTATAGTCTAGTATTTAACATAGGTAAATTGAGTATATCATTTTTCAGAAACTGAAATACTTTGACCGAAAAAAGCATTTCTATGGTTCCTGGAAGAAGAGACCAGAATGAAGGGGGACACAGAATAGTAGAATCACTGTAAGCATGAAAATACATGAAGCAGAAGAACTGACACTGGACGAATAGACCTTCCAACAGACAGTGACCAGAGTGATGTTCTGTAATGGGACATTCTACAATGCCACATGATAAAATTTTACATAGTGTCATCTATTTTTAGCCCACATCTGAAAGAATGAGGTATCCAATTTAATTTTACTGCTCAAGAGATTAAAAAAAAAAAGTAGTAGGATATCACTAAAATGTAATAGTTCTTGTGCTCTGCCCTATTTGGGTTCAAACTCGATATCTTGAAGAAGTGTCCAGTCATGTGTGCCTTCTCCATCCAACTACATGCTCAGGATACCAGTGTATTTCACTGAGTAAAGGGAGCGAGTTTTTTTTCCCTTTCAAGTCGAATGGAGAGCAACTAAAATCAAAAGACTATTACAGCTGCTGTTGTTAAAACTAATTATGATAAAACAGGAAAATGCAGTGCTTTGCAAACTTGCCCGCAATCCAGTTGTCATTTGTTGAAATCCACTTCAAGATCAGACATTTTAAAACAATGGCAGCTGTCTGGAGAGGACAGGTGAAGAGAAAATTAATTTTCCAAATCACCTCACTTGCGTGGTTCAAATATATAATGACCAGGCACTTCACATGCCAAAGACAATGTCTTCTATAAGAATACCATTCAACTGGCAACCCTACAGCGTCCCTACGTCTAGACTAACTAATCATTTAGGTCATTTTTATTTAATCAGACTTTCTCAGTAATGCTGATTTATGATTCCCATTGGAATCAATAATGGACAGAGACCGGTTAAATTTGTTTTGACCGTATTTGTGTGTGCTTTTCCTTTCACTGTGCATCCTAGTAAAAGTTTATGTTGTTCTGTAGTGTAAATTATACTACTTAATCAGTACTAATCTTTCTCATGTGGGAAATCTGAAACAGATGAGACCAATAAAAAACATGTCATAAAAGGTGACCAATTAAGGGTGTTTTTCTTTGGCCAGAGTACATCTGCCTGAGAGATGTGGAACTAACAGTTCGCATTTAAATAAGCTAGATCTGCAAAATGCACAAGCATAAAAATCTCAAGTTCTGGAACGAGACCTAAGTCGAAATGTGGACAAACAAGCAGCATTTTCCACAAGAGTTTATAGCCAGTCAGCACAAATAAGAAGAGTATCCATCAACTCAGCAGGCATTTGTTAGTTTGTAATTATGGGATTTACTTTTCTCATCTTCTTCTCAACAATTCATAACTCTAACCCACATTGTCACAGTGTAGTATCATTTTGGAGAGGCTAGGAACTATTATTACATATGTTTCACTGCATTTCTCATACTTTAACTTGTTAAAACAGATTCAAAGTTCTAACGTGCTGAGTGATGATAAAGTGAACTCTGTCATTTGTGATCTTGTCTCTGTATGATATACTAAGGATCTTTTGAAAAGATCAAATTTCTTATGCTTGATTTGTTTCACTTATCAAGTTACATGTTATGTAGGTCCATGTTTCACAGCTGAATGTAAAAGTACTGATAGCAAGTGCACTAAGCAGTTGTTTTTGTTTCATATGTTGAATATTCATAATACTTTCTGTTTAATGAGGACTGATGTTGTTTGGACAATTTCTGATGTGATTTCCCGGTTTGGTTACTTTTTTAAAACTAAACTCAAATGGATCCTAACAGATTTTTTTAAAGGAATAAGTTTCCCAGCATTACTTTAAAAGACACCTTATGGTGAGTCTTGCCACCTTCTTTCTAGAAAGAAAAAAAAAAATAAGCCCTGGATCCAAGACATTTAAAACTGCCTCATTTGAAATAGTTTTTGAACCCTAACTGTAATTACAGTAAGGGTGCTGGATTATTTGTTATTACTGTCTTTAGTCTTGTCTACATTTATTTACAAGCTGTATTACTAGTATTAAGTTCATGTGTCTAATACAGAAGATGTATATTCTCAGCTTTATTAAACTAAATGAATTATATGATAACCAAAGCTTAGTAGCAATAGTTAAATAGTACTTACAGCTAAATTGTAGTACTAGTTACTATAGCTAAATAGTACTAGTAGTTGTAAACTGAAGATTTAAGATCTAAAAAAAACCAAAACAGTATATTGCGCGACGACACAGTAGGCTGAGTAGGTAAGCGTTATATTTATATCACACTGGTATAAACGCAGATTTGTCTCATTAATATTTATTGTTATTGTTTCACGGACATATTCTGATTCACATCATAAGACGTCAGTTAGTAACTGAGTTACTTAGTCTGGCTTGACAACAATGACATTACACTCACAGAGTTGACTACGAAACGAAGAGCCTAGGAGAGAGTAGTCGTAGACATAGAAGAGGAGATAGTATCTCAGATACTGATAAACATCCAAGTAACTTTAGCCTATAACTAGTGTACTGAAGTTACTCAGTTTAGTTTACTGGCCTACCTTTGGTCTGTAAAGCCATCTCCTCAGAGAATTCATGTTTGTTCTATCAGTGAAGTGTTGGTCATCTGTGCCGCCACTCAATGAACATAGATTCAAAAAGAAATATAAAACAAACACAATGATACTGTAGTTTTATTGTGTTTTTGTCAGTTTCCTACTTCCATTCCCGAAGTCTCGTCTGAAGGTTCATAACGTCACGTTTCGAGACTTCCCCCGGAAATGCTCAAAGCTCTACTTTCGTTTGTTAAGTTTTCTAAGAAGGGTATGAAGGGTTATGACAGGTTGGGGGAGAAAACAACAACTGTGTATCCTAGTTATGTCCCAGATAAGTTTGTCAGGGATATTGCTGTTTAAATTACTGCTACTACATAGCTTAAGAGCTAAGCGTATTAGTAAAAGCACTTTAAATACACGTAAATGCAATAGTGGACCAGAAATCCCATGCTTTAGCCGTAGAAGACCTCTTAAAGGCTAGAGGATGTTGCTAATCACACTCGCTATCATCACAGGCTAAAGTCTAATTTTAAATGTGACTTAATAGCACAACAAAACACAATAGTTTGGAAAAAAGAAAAGGTACCAACAACGAGGATTAAATTTTCTCTCTCTCCCTCCTTCCTCTTCCCCCCCCTCTCTCTCTCTCTCTCTCTCTCTCTCTCTCTCTCTCTCTCTCTCTCTCTCTCTCTCTCTCTCTCTGAGCGACTGGGTGTCTCCACCTTGACGTGGTGGGGAAGCTTGTGTTTCGCAATGTACCATGAGAGCTATGCCGATGCTAGCATAGCTACCAGCAGGACCTCCGAAGCCGAAAAGGTCGAAGGGTAGAGAACCGACCAAGAGAGACACACTGGTCTTTTAGGTTGGGGGTTGAAGCGTGGGGCCGACACCCCCACCTTCGTAAAACTTTATGTCGTCACGAAACATATCTAACCCTCGATTTCATATGGATTTAAAGGGACAGACCTGCAAACACTTGGTGTCACCAACTGGAAAAAGAAGGCCGACCAGAGAGATGAATGGAGGCTGGAGATATCTGCAACAATGAACCTCAAGGGCACGGAATGCTGAGGAAGAACAAGATTGTTTCTGTGCCAACTCTCCTCCTGATATCATCCTTCCTAAGTCGATATTTCTTTATTATACCTAGCATAGTACGTAAACATTTCATTTCTGTCGTGATTATTTTTCTTCTGTCTTCTAAAGTGTCTATGTTTGACATTGATAACTTTGATGATAAACTATTATGATATTTGAAATTACACGGCATCAATAAATAAATGGAAAATTGCTAGATCATCCCACAGTCCACCCACAAATGGACAGCAGGTTGTTTGGTAGCCATTGGGTTGAATGGCTGAACGGATTTAGCGGATTTGCACCTTTTAGATTCTTTTCGATTTAGACTAATAATAAAGCCAGTCTCACAAGTCATGAAAGAACAACAAATGAAGTGGTCTGAACACCTAACAAGAATGCCGTGGGTACTATCTGCCGCAGCGAGCCACACTAAAACCTTACAATGGGTATAGAGCGAGTGGAAGACCTCAGAAAATATGGAGTGATGGCATTAAGAACAGCCTAACATAAATGAACATCAGTCTAAATAGTGCTCTTGACAGAGCTCATCGACGAATTTTACATCCCTGGCCCCCCCCCCCCCCCCCAACACTTCGCCGAGGTACAAGGTGGAAGAGAAGAAGAAGACGACGAAGAAGAAGCAGATTCTAATCTGAATAGTGAATCTTTAGTCACCCGATGTCAGTATTTGAGGCCAAAGTATTTGAAAAAACAGAAGGGGGGAGGGGAGGAGAAGGTTGTAAATTTGCGGTTCTTTACATGAAATCGAGAGAGAAGGTTTTGGACAGTTCATCAAAGTGGCATGGAACATGACCTACTTTAGAGGTGAGTAGGTCATGCATGGAAAATCATCAGTGTCAAAACTGATTGAAAGTACACGAGATAGAATAGACATTAGAGAGACATTACTTCCAGTGCTACACAGTATGGACTACATAAACAAAATCTACTGATCAAATGAAAAAGAGAGAATTAGGTAGATCAAAGTTTATGAATATCTCTATCTTCGGAATACCTACTTCATATCCCTCCGTTGACCGGATTTTAACGACACTAATATACTTTTGCGCTCCCTCATTTCTCGCAGGTAATATATCCGTCATCTAGCATTCTCGGACAAGGACGAACAACTCGGAAGATCCGTTAACAATCAATTCACATTTGAAATTAAAAATAGCAGGCTTGAAAAGGCCGATATAACGGCAAAATGTTAAAATTCAAAACCCTCAACTTCTTCTTCTGTCCAATATCCCCTGTTGGAGCATATGCCCTCATCCAACCCACGCCAAGTCGTCCTATTTTTTATCCTTGGCTACAGCATATCTTGTCCGCAGCTCACAGGGGCGACGAAACTATTTCCGTTCAGTCTACAAATGGAGCAAAAATGTCACGGCCACCTTCTGACAGAAGCAAAAACTTTGCTACGACTTAAACCAGTGACCGTGCTTAGCGTCCATTTTGACCGGAAGTTCGCCAACTCTCTGTGTGTTTTGGTCAGCCTTTATTTCTAGGCCCCCGCGGATTCCAGAGCAACACCATTTTAATTACGAGATATTGTTCTCGTGTTTTCTTAACATGTCTTCATCATTAGTGATTCTATCTTCTTCTTCTTCTTTTTAGATCCTTCCAACAGAAAACTTATATAAGGAGGCCGGCAGCCTTTATGAAAGCTATCGTGCAATCTATATCCTCTCGTGCACCATACAGTTTTGTCTTCATTGTCGTTGAAACAGGCCAGAATGCGTCTCTGCTGTCAGCATACAGTTGACAGTGTTGAAGCACATGCTCAGCATTTTCGGGTGCCACGCTGCAGGGACACGTCTCCGTATTTCCGACACAGAAAAATTTGAACACATGTTGACGAAATCTGTCGTGCCCAGTCCTTAGTCTGAATATAATACACTGTCCCTCTCTAGAGAGGCGATGAAGTGAGTCTTGGGGAGAAAATCGGGTGTGGGTATCCAGCCACCTTTCTTGGATTCTGTGTAGGTTATTGGTAATTGTTGCAGTTGTTCTCTGTCTTTCCGCTATACATAACAACACTGATTGACATTAGAATTATACTTTTTAAGTTTAGTTTTAGTTTTAATTTCCTTTTACCCCCACAAATTTCCCTTTAGAATTCATATTTTAATAACTCTATAATTTCTGGAGTCCTGCAACCAGACTAAAATTCAGTCATGTATGAACAACCCAAGACTTTCCGCCAGAGTTCACAGCGTGGCGAACGATGCCGAAGAACAAGAGTAAGAAGAATGACAGGAGGAGCAAAAAGAAGAGATGGAGACGTAGGAGAAACTGGGGCATTTACATCTTATACTGTGGTCAGGTCTTGGTGAGATATGAAAGAGCTACCGTATAACAACAGCCGGTATTACATTTTGTTTGTTTGTTTGTTTACGCGGAATGTGTCGGCTCGGTGGCTTAGTCGATGCGAACGCTTCGCAATGCCGGAATGCCAGGTTCGATCACAGCTACGGGCCATGTGCCTTGCGTTGGTTTCGACAGTGGTATCAAGAAAGCTGACCGTCCAGCAAGCAATGGCAAACTACTGGACGCAACTTTGTCTAGAAAAACCACACAACAGTTGTAAAGGATACGCAACTAAACTAACGCGGAATGTTGGGCGGCGTAAATCAAATCTACACCCCTGATTGTGGCAACAGATTTGGGCGGGGGAGCACATTGGGGATAATACTAGCTTGATCCTTGGTAGAGTAAAAACAACCTGAAAACCTTATATTATGGCAGGACAGACCAGGTCCTTAGCCTTGGCTGGCAGCTGGTCTTGGAGGGATGCTTTGACATCAGCACGGATAGAGCACTGCTCGACAGGCGGATGGATAGAGCACTGCTCTTCTGATCCAGTAGCATCTGCACCGTGCTTTGTTTCAAACGTACTGGTGTTACATTCCCTTTAGAGCAAACAAGACATGCTGAGTAAGGAATTATGATGCATGGGCAACATACTATATAATACTGCCCAAGTTTTGTCCTATGGAGAGGAGGAACGTAATCCCTAGCCCTAACTGGTCTTTGACTTTTCTCAACACAGGCAGGTCCTGCTAGTCACACTCGCCATCGCCATGATCTGTGAGTCCTATGCCTCATCATAGCACAATATAACACTATCGTCAGGAAATACGGAAATGTGCCAGCAGTGTTTCACTAATATCTAACCGTTACTTTACTTCTATAAGTGCCGATCAATGTCCAGAAATTTATTTTTCTTTCTAACCTTTCAGCAGTAGCAATCTTACTAGCCATTACTGGTTTACCCTTAGTAGTACGAAGTACCCCCCCCCCCCCCCCTCGCCCCTTCCCCGAGAATTATATCTCTAGATAAATCCCGTAGTCAAACATCACGGCAGCTCAGTCCTAATTTAAATTCCTCTTCCATTCAAACCTTTCGGACGAAAATAAAAATCAGCTTATAAGCCGAAGATACCTGGCTATAATATGGCTGCAAACCCAGTTATTGACACAACAACGAGGCGCATACGCGCATCCGTGCGCGGGTACACACACACACACGCAAACACACGCGCACATACGAGCGCGCACACACACGCACACAGATACATCAGATGTCCAAAATTCAAGATTTTTCTTACACTTGCCAATTCCTCACATTGCTAATTGGTCTAGTTACTATGAACGTCGGCCATTCTTTTCGCCGGTGTCTGTTAATTAAGCACACCTATTTTATTTTTCCTTTTTAAAATGAAGTAGAGTCGTGATAAAGTTCCCTTCACTGTGACATACAACCATTATATAAAATTGCTTTGAAAAAAATGTAGTTATCCCTTTCATTTGTTATACATTTATAGACGTATTCGAACTCATTCATTTCTTCTAAACAAGTAAGTATAAATAACAAATCGCATACAAATAGAATGTTCACTGACATAACAACCACAAAAACTGTAGGCCTATGGATTTTTCAAAACATATTAATGAAG